GTAATGGCCCCTGACGATCGAAAAAAAAAAGTCAATAGCACCTTTCCCGAGGAAATGACAGCCTTTGCTTTCTTCGGGGGTGGTGAATTCAAATGTTTCCATTGTAAGCTTTGCCGGCGTGTTTCAGGTTCGTAGTGGTGGCATCATGATTCGTCTCCGGTCACAATTGCAGATAAGAAGTCGTCACCCTCATTGTGATACCGGATGAGATGAGTCAAAGCAGCGCCGAACCTCTCCGTCTTCTGGCGGTAGTTCAAAATCTTGGGCATCCATTGAGCACACAAAAGCCGATAACCGAGATGATCATGAATTATGGTGTGAACCGAACCGTGACTGATGTTCACACGCTCTGCCAGTTCATCGATGCTATCCTCCGTTCTTGTCTAATCAGCTCATCAACCTGTGCAATTGTGTCGGGGGGTGATTGTTAGGTGGCTTTGGCCCGGTCTTGGATCGTCTTTGCAACTTTCACGTCCTTCTCTGAACCGTTTGCTCCAACGCTTCACAGTGGCCAATGCGATACAATGTTCACCGTACACAGCAGTCATACGGCGACTAATTTCATGTTGGGAAACACCTAGTCAGCTGTCAAAAACCTGACCACACCACGCTGTTCCTCTTTTGGAGCGTCCATTATGTCACGCTACCGTTTTCAACCCAGTGTAAACTGGTTAACTTAAAGAACTTTAACCTCACACTTTCGCGCCACTTTCGTAAATGAAGACTGTCTCTGTGCTACGCGCATGCGCCGCAGATGATGGACCGAACCATTCTTGCTGAGGAGGGGTTGGCTCACTTTCATTTGACTCGCCCTTATACTAATCACCTAAAATTATAGGTATTGTTATAAAATATCCAGTAGTGATTATGATACGTGTAATTGCAAAGCCTATGTGAACACAAAACTACCTTGGACGACATTTATGACACTAAGTGTTACTGGCTGTGAGTACCGATATCTCCTGTCGCAGTCATCTGCCTTCGAATCGTAAAAAGGGGAAAAAATATCTCGTCACAGAGCAGAACACTTTTCATTCCAAATGAAAGACGTTATCCTACCCACGTGCATCTAACTTTGACGGTTAATCTGCGTAAAGTGCATAGCGTGGTGTGAGCGTTTATAGTTCTGAGTCATGCAAGTGGTTTTATAGAGTTTATGTAAACGCCTGTTGTGTCCATAAGACATAACAAAGTTACTCGCCGTCGGGCATAATCAACTATTTCGGGAGCACAGTCTTGAATGTGCATAGCCAATTATTGTCCTCCTACCCCTTGATATTTCCGTAACATCATTAGCACTCGTTCAACTGACTCTGGATTAACGGATGACCGAAAAAATAATCTTTAAGAAATCTAAGAAAGAAAAGAAAATCTGAAAACTAAGAAATCTGAAAACGTACGTAACCTGTGGTTGTGATACTCAAATTTCAATTACTCCAATAGCTCTTAAGAGTTTGTAGGGTTCCACTACTTCGTTAACTTAAACATTCGCCCCTACTATCTGGAGACTTATCTCCCTTTTTGTTGAAATAGTAACTGAGCCAAAAGAGTATTTTAAAAAAGCTTTTTTATTTGAAATTTAACTTAACAGTGCACGGATATTGCTTATAAATCTATCCGAAATTTCATGTGTACAAAACATTTATAAACTCTTATGATAATTATCCAGCTATTATGATTTAACCTTTACTCTAACTTCTTTCTTACGTAGTTTTCACCAGAATGGAAATTAAGTCTTTTGTGATAGAGCGACTCTAATCTTTGCAAACATAAACCAAAAAAAGCTAGCAAACTGCATAAGGAATTATCCTCAAGTCTTAAGTATGACTATGTCCAGAGTAGGATATAAACAGGCCCGCGCCGACAATGGGTGCAGAGTCAAAAAGGCGCTGCTCAATTATTAAAACAGGCAGTCCATCTCGCTGCCTGTCGGAACAGAAAAATTTCTTGTCTTAATTTGAACGTGTTTTTGTGTTGTCTTATTGATACTCATGATATCAAAAAGGAACCTATGAACTTTAACCCTGTTAAATAATTCTATAAACTCCTTAGAACTCTAATTGCAATGTACTTAATATCTTTATGAACTCAGATTCCTATGAACTGTTCATAAACACCTCTGAACTCATAAAAACTCTAAATTCATCTCCGCAGCTAATACAAAACTTTCAAATTAGAATTAATTATATTGTTTATATACAATGGTTTAATATATATATCCAAATTTCATATATTGTATAGATTATAAAATTTAAATAAACATGGTCCCACTGAGTGAGCAATAAAGCTGAAAGTTTATGGCAACCCTAAAACTGCTCTGCGGGGAAGCTATCTTACCGCGCCTGGACATTTCGTAACAATTTCTTCACTGTGTAAAGGCGCTCGCTAGACATTTGCATGACGGCGCCGATTAGGCTTGGCGCGGGCCTAGGTATAAAGAACCCTTTATTAACTCAATATAAAGTTCACAGATGGCAACGACTCGTGCTTACAGATGGTAACACTTTTGGCTTACAAAAAGTAATAAGTAAAAGGTAATAAGTAACGTAAAATAAAATAGAATGCTAGCCTAACAGCCTTTCACAGTTTACTTAACTCGCAGGCAGACTCCGACTCGTAAAGGTCGGCGTACACACTGTTAATGGCTAGAAGCGCTCAACCCCACAGAAATCTAGTCACTAGTAAGACAAAAAAGCAACGTGGCCTTCAGGCACGCATAACACGCTTTAAAATCGCGTTCCAAAGCCTCCCCTTAAATACTACTTCTTTTTACCTCATTTGACTATATGCGCTCTAACTCATTAATATTCTGGCAAGAAAGCGTGGGTTGAAAATGAGAATAAAAGGAAATTTGCTTTAAAATAAAATTAACTGTTAGCTAAATTAAATGAATTCCCACACTGTACTTAAGTCACATGTTTGAATGTTTACATTTAGAACTTCTGGTAGCCTGGTCTTTCCCAAGTTATTCCACCATCAACAACTTGCTAGCTGACATTTAAAAATAGGCGACGGTAATATCATGAGCCAAACTTTCTAGTCTATTTCATGTGTAGTCTCTGATAACGTAACCTACATTTGAATTTGAAGGTATCGTATGTTAATTTGAATACCTGAAAGAAGAGCAAGTTCGTCTGTCGAAGCATTGCCTTTCTGTTTATTTAAGAGTAAATAAAAAAGGTTAAAGACAGTCATTTGTTCCATACTATAGCGGTAACTCGCTTTCAGTCTAATAGAGTCTCCAGGTCACTGACACAAGCTTCTAAATACAACAGAACCCTACAATATGATATTTAAAATGAGTAAATTAATGCTTACAAAATTCCGGTTTACAAATGCAGAGTCTAACAAGCGTTGGCTCAATTCTAACAAAGTAAGCTCCGGCTAGCACATAAGACTAACGGCAGATACCGTATCTCTCAAAGCTAGGTGAGGAAATATCACAACTGTCAGCGTCGCTGCCAAAGTTCTCTCTATAGCTTTTAAGAACTCTGTTCTTATATACCTCATTTAAATCCTTATGAGAGCTATCGAAACATAGAAGTGAAAGTGTAAGTCAAATCATAAGGTAATGAGGTATAATTTTTGCAAGTTCATCGGTCAATAAACAAAGAAATTCTTGACCTTTAAAACATAGTAAGCATGCAGAGCTGAAATGTAAAAATCACCTTTATTCTTTCCACCGTTTTATATCAACGTTACTGAAATCAAGCAGTAATACAGCTATTGCTTTCAGTATGTGTGAATTTCCCCTCTTTTATGAAGCAGCGAAATCCAAAAAAAAAAAAAATCCCATACAGTTATGTACATTTTTTCATATACAATAAAATCCCTCGTATCCTGCACTCGGTGTTAACCAAGAATATCAAAACAGCAGCAGTTTTGAAGGTCTAAATTTAAATCTGGAATTTAGGCAAAAAAACCTGTAATGGACTAGCAATCTGAAGATTTAAATGTGAGAAAGATTGTCTTATGTTTCTGCCGTCCAACGTAACAATCCTTATCCGAACAGTGAATTATCCAGACTATAATGATGAACTACATATTCCTTTTCTGCTTCTATGTATGAAAATCGAAAGCAATGGCCATGACGTTTAGAAACAATTCGTATTATAAGACGCCAGATTTACTTTGTTTCTTGGCTGGAAAGAAATAAAGAACATTACGTTATGCAACCGCTGGTGTAAATTGTTCCTGCGAGCAGGTAAGTAGATGACGAGTCGAATGCCGAATTTTCTTATTTTTAAAACACGTCCGGCGCCCGTGTCCGCCATCTTGAGTTCAATTCAATGTTCCGAAAAAGATTCATGTTAGGGAGAAGGAGGTTCAGGTTTGAATATATGCAGAAAATTCTGCTTCTGTTACGCTCTTTCAAGATGACGACGAAATAATGAGACATGCACTGGGAAAGCAGAAAGACAAGGAGGAGCGGGAGAATGAAGATTAAACCGATATGCAGAATAACAGAAATATGTAGAAGCAAGCTGACGAAAAATTGGAGACTTTCATCAGATTTGCCCAGCTATGCTCATCTATGTCAGTACATTATGTTACAAAGTTCGTTGCATGCACAGAGGAACTTTTAAACTCTGGCGACAATCTCGTAAGCAGGCAGAATTAAACATTATATGTCATCATACTGAGAAATTCGTATGTGATATTATACTGGGTAATTTTTAAATATTGCTTGTCTTTATTTTTCTGAAATATAAAATCTTGCTATAATTTTTAATAATCTGTACGGTTTTCGTTAGATTTTATTTAATAGTGGCTGATAGATAGATTAAGACGGCTAGTGGACTTTGAATGCTGCGATTTCTATAGATGGCATCATGAAACATTAGCATGTAAATTCTAGAAATACGTATTCAATTACCAGGAAAAATCTTTTATGCGGAATCACAGAGGTCTGGTTGCTGCCGGTTAAAAAAATTCTACTGCACCTAATTTTCTACGAGAAATTTATTTAAACTACAGAAATAATATATTTATAATCTTACCTTTTTGAATGATTTCAGCAATATTTGGAGAAGAAGCGTATGAAGCAGGTGGCGATCTCAAGCAAGAATTTGGCACCCATCCTTCAGCATCATCCGCAATTCTTCGTACGTAAGACCATCCGGGTCTTTTCTCTGTTTTTTCTACTATATGGACCTGGTCACCTGAATTTACGCTCAATTCATCAGAGTTTGGAGCTGCAGTGTGGGATGCAACTATCCAAGTTACTTCTTTTGCAACCTATTAAAAACACAAATTTTATGACAATGATCTATATGTTTGAGCTAAAATGCAAGTAAATTACAGAAGCATATTAGCATTTAAATTATGATTTAAACTGCAACATAGCAAATCGATCGGATATTAGGAAACGTAAAATCGAATGTCATAAATTATTTTTTTAAATAATGAAGTTTATTTTAGATTTATTTTCATAATAATGAGTAACTGAAAGTCTGTGAGTATATCATTTACCTTTAGCCACGACATAATGAATATCAGTGGGACAGATGAAGTGAATTTTTTTAATTTAAATACTTTAACAATTCATATTTGCATTACAGTGTCTGGATCCAAGCAAAATTAAAAAAAAAATAGGAATAAGAAATATTCAATTATAGTTAACTGCATACAGGTTTCCGAGACTTATAAAAGAAAAGAATTCTGATATTTTTCATTCTTCAAAATTAAAAAAAAATATGTATTACATGCCACTACGGAACCTTTTTTTTTTAAACTGCATGTAAATAAGCGAAATTTCTTACACCAAATGACCTAAATGTAGGATATCCATAAGTCTGGACCCACAGACATTTCTCTTTTCACCATTTCGGCATGAAGGTACCCCCCTGTATTACACATAGATATTAAGACGTTATTCAGAAAGACTGGAGAACAAGAATTGAGACCTCCATGCGATTTGTATTTGTGGAGCCAACTTACAGTCGGTGGTTGATGAGGTCAGAACGTGTCACAAATGATGACTAAGAACTTGCTACTTTTGTCGCATTACATTGTGCAAAAATATCAGCAAATATACTGGGAGATACAAAACAATGAAACACAGATTAAACAGCTCTGCAACTGCATATAATTTGCTCCTACAGCTCTAGACACCAAGAACACTTTGTATATTGGATAAAGTTTCATTTTCTTTCCATTGGTTTTGTTAGAGAAAATTAAATAAGAATAATAAAGAACATGACTTTAAAGTAGCTTTATTATTTAATGTGTAGTCTTATTTAATGTGTAGTCATGACTAGAATCCGTAATAGCACAAAACCGTAATATAAGACTAGTTTCTTACAGTATTTGCGTACTTAAATTATTTCTTGAGTTGAGTATTTGAGCTAGCCATCGATGCTAGCCTTTTTGTTAAATCCTTCAATCTTTCATACAAGAATTCAAGCTCGGGACAAGATTGGAATTTTCCAGCAATCTTGGCCATCATGATATGGGGATTAAATAGCGAGTTACACAAGGAAGCATGATGACTGTATTTTTTATATAATCTTATGTGAAATACCTTTTCGTTGCAACAGCTCGTCTGAGAAAAGTCGTACGAATTAAATTAGAATTGCTTTATATCCAAGACCTTACTCATTTACATATATCTTACATCTAAACTGGTTGGCCTTCCCAACCTTGACCTACTAATCTCGGTAACAGATTGTATTTAGTGAGCTATGCCTCCAAATAATTAATAGAAGGAAAGAAATAAAATTCAAGAAAAATACTAATGGAACCGCGATATTTGCTCGTTTCAATTAAGTGCTTGTAAAAAACGGCTTCGTGAAAAAAATCATAAAAATTCATACATACTTACTATATTATGTATACATATGTATATAATTTATGTTTTATTTCTGCACAGTGTAAAAGAAGTTTCGTTAATTTGCTTTGAACTGGCTTGTAGAGACATTGTAGGTATTTTTGGAAGCAGGCAAGATGAAAAATTAGCAACGCCTTCGCCGGGAATCGAACCGCGGACCTCTCAACACGCGCTGAGCGTGCAGACCACCACACCACTAAGGCTCGCTAAAAAGGCGGGACAAATAGCTTATAGGCTTATTGTCTCTTTCTTTTGTTATTGTTCTTCGGAGAAGACGCAGGACCCGAAAAATATTGTCATTTGCATCCCTGGCTACGAAAAAAGTTTTAAGTTTTTCTGCGCACTCAGAAGCCATTGAATAGGTTACGGGCGGTTCAGCTTGAAATTCTTCAACATTCGTCGTTATCATCGTCACTTCCATCATTTTTTTCCTTTGCTTTGGCTCGAATTTCAGCTACAGTATCCTCAGGATTAGGCCGGAAGTAATAACATTGGCGTCAACAGATACATAATTTTCAAATTCTCCTCTACCTCATTTCCAAATTTTCCAAGACATCTACTTCTTCTTCTTCCTCAGTGATTTGCTCCTCTTGAGAAATGTCCAATCAGTTTCACGGAAGCAATTATTAATGCATCGTTCATTAAACGTATCGCTTCGAGTACGTTTACATTAGCATTTAAGGCTTTTGTTTCCCTCTTTTATCGAGAAGCATCAAAATCAAGTGTTACGAAAAATTAATTTAAAAGTTCTGATGATCACTTTGTCTATAGGCTGGATAACACTTGCAAAAATTCAATCCTGATCACTTCTCAAGAAAACAAAAGCCGCCGTCGAGTGTTCGCAGGATTTATGATTCACCACTAAATTTCAGTTGACTTCGGAATGCTAAAGAAATTTTTCCATGAAAGGATTAGCTGATCTAAGAAGGTGAAAGTATATAGAAATTTTATGAATCACAAAAATATTGTTCGCTATAACCGGGGTTTGCTGGTTAAAAGCGAGTTTTATGCTTCCGTGGACTTAACATTGTACCAACCAAGTAGTTTCTATTTCCTCGTTAAATCAGGGCTCTTTATAAGAGAGTTGTACTCTATGACGTTGAACCGAAGCATGTATATGGTAACTAATACCGCACATAATAATTTCAGAAAAATGGGCCGGCTATCTTTTAACAAATTTTTCGCAGATCAGCGATTCTAGCTAACAAAAGGAGAGAAAACTTTGGAGATTTTCAGATTATAAAAATTTTAGTAGCATAACACTTTCACTAAAAATTTTTAAAAATTATAAAAGCAAAGAAAAAAAACATTTCAAAGCGAAAAAAAGTTTGGTGTAGCCAAATTAGTGAACAAAACACTTTGATTAATATATGATCAAAATTGCGGTATAGCGGCTTAAACGTTTCCATGGAAACTGGATTAGAAACATTTAGCAGAGCCATTTTTTAACATTCTGTGTATATGCTGTCATAAGCACTCGAAATCAATTACTTTGCAAGTTTGCCCATAAAATGTTGATTTCCATAAGTATTCGAAACTAACTGCACTTGCTCGCTTAATAGCAGCTTTAGATGTCACTTATATTAAACTGCCAAATGATAACATAATACCTATTATTTTCTACGTATAGGTGACAAACTGATGCCTAGTTAAATATTGTAAGTATAAAGTTTTGTCAGGTTTAAAATCCCACAAAAATGGAATATGTTATATTTAGTAATTTTATTGATTTTGCTCAGTGCATGTGAGTTTCAAATAAAGATATTTTACTTTAAAAATGTACACTTTATTCTTTCATAACACTTTACTCGATTCAGATACATATATGTACAATGAAAATGGGTTTTGACTAAAATTTCCATGGGTATTCGAATCTTACTGCAGTTGCTCACTTAAGTAGCAGCTTTAGATGTCACTTATATAAACTACCAAATGATAACCTAATACCCGTTATTTTTCTACGTATAGGTGGAAAATTTATGCCTAATTAAATGTTGTAAGTATAAAATAAAGTTTTGTCAGGTTTAAAATCCCACAAAAATGGAATGTGCTATATTTAGTAATTTTATTGATTTTGCTCAGTGCGTGTGAGTTTCAAATAAAGATATTTTACTTTAAAATGTGCACTTTATTCTTTCATTACACTTTACACGATTCAGATACATATATGTACAGTGAAAATGGTATTTCATTAAAATTTCAGTGAATAAATAGTATTATAATTTCATACTTTCTATTAACCGAAAGCACACACTATAATAATTATAAGCAAGAATTGAAGATATGTAAAGGGAAAGCAATACTAACAATTTTTTTATTTTAAAAAGGAAGGTGTCAAAATTTACAAAAGGACTTAAACTTGTAGAGACATTAGGTTATTTCGTAGCAGGGAAAGTGAAAAATGAGCAATGCCCTCGCCGGGACTTGAACCACGGACCTCTCGAATACGCGCCGATTGTGCTGACCACTACACCACGAAGGCATGCTAAGAAGGCGGGAGAAATACCTTATAATCTAATAAGCTAAAATTTGGAACGGAATGTTATTGTCTTGAATCCGTTCGTAATTATAGAAATGGCCGAATTCAATACAATTAATTCTGTTTCGGTGTAAGAAATCCAGAGCAACGTTCCTGCAGTCGTCCTATAATCTCATCTATGACTTGTAATGGACTTCAACAGAAAATAATATTTGTTAAAAACACCGTTTAGGTTAAGGTGTAAAAAGAGGGAGGTTAAGAAAATAAGAGGGGGGTTAAAAAAGGGGGAAAAGTTAAAAAGAAGCAAAAAAGCTTAAAAAAGTAAAAAAAAAAAAAAAATAGGTTCAATTTTAAACTGAAAGAAAATGTAAATTTACAGAGCTTAAACATACTACGACGCCTTTTGCAACAGAAACACAATAAAAACTATCGTTGTAGTAAATATAATAAACTCTAAAATTGTAAAATCATAATATATATATATATGCAATGTACTTGCGATTTTTTAATTTTATAATATTTAAAATCATATAATCCTTTAACTTTTGTTTATATGCAGTACTAATTTTTAACTGATTCTTCTCTTGATTTTTACCATAAGCTTTTAAAATGATCTTTATATAAATGTTTTCTTTTTGAACGCATTGGAGAATTTTCTTTGTATTTTAAAAATTCATAAATTAATTCTAAATTTTATATGCTAGATTTTTCGCAATTTTTAAAGCATTCTTGGGAAATTTTTTACGCGCGTAATTTTCTATTTTTATTTTTGTTTCTTAACTGTACGTTTTTGATAATCACCACTAAAAATTTTTAATTTTAAACTTTTTATAAGTTTATTACATATTTTAATAGTTTTATCTTAGTCTTCTTAAGAATTAACAATTAATAAATTCCATTTGCAATAGTTTTTACCCTTCATTTTTAGGA